ATTGATCCTTTTATGCTTCTTTCCATCACCGATTTTAGTATGTTGTTGACATATACTATATAAGGTGGGAAAGAAAAGATCTAGAGAAGCCTCTTACTTACTGGTAAGCGCAGTGCAGAACGGCTAAATGGGGTGACGACCCGATAAGACGTGCAAGAAATCAATGGATGAAGCTGGCTCTGGACCGTGTGTTGTGGTGTTCCTTGGCGAATGCGTCTGTTCAACAGCGGGCTTATGAAGGGCTTTAATGATGATGACGATGGAGGCACAAGGCACAGATTTTTTGTCGTTTAATAATGGCGTAAGATAATAAATCCACTACTCCATAGTGACCCGTGAGTTTCGTAAGAGGTGACAGAAGAAAACTGAAACAGAAAATGGGTATTCCTGATAACAAATCAAAACATTTAAAACTGCCGTTGCCAAACCCGTTCCAAGCGTAGCAACTATACCAAATGTCAGTAGGGGATACCTACGTGTTCAGCAGTGGTCTATTGATAAGCTGAAATGCATAAATATAAATATATAAAAATTCACGCCTGTCACCCAGAAGGTAAGCTGAGACTTCGAACTTACTTTTGGCACGATTCTGACACACCACTCCCGCCTCCATCATATATATATATATATATATATATATATTTATATATATATATATATATAAAACTTTGTTTTTAGAGGATAAGGGTGACAAACCGGCACTCAGTCCACCTGACGGTAAGTGGTTGCTGCGGCCCATCGACATCTACATCTATCGTCTATTACAAATTAAAATGCAGATGCGTTTTCAGCCGTGAGGACTAAGATGGAATGCCTCTTTTCTAGTAAAATGGGTCTCCGGTTCTCTACACTCACCATACGAAACATAGCAGCGTTAAGCTGCTATTTTACGCTGGTATTCTGTGAGAGCGTGGTCCTTCTCCGGTTGAGCCGACCCATTCGTGCTAAAACTATACTACAGCAATACAATATAGCTGCAGCAAGTCTCTACCATGTATAAAACTATGCAGATGTTCATCGGTTAAGGTTATTCTTAATTTGGCTCGTCTTCAATATATCGTCAATAAATTTAACTTGGACAATAATGATCATGATTATTATATCTTTTTAATAGCTTAACAGTTTTTTGTTATAGTTGCCACTTCCAGTGGACGTAATTTGGTGTTGCATTGTCTTTAGTCGTCAACGCGTGGCAATTGGTGACGATTAAGGCGTGTCCTTTCTACTATAGGAGAGGGGAGGGACCACGCTCTCACAGAATACCAGGCTAAAATAGCAGCTTAATGTTGCTGTGTTTCGTATGGTGAGTGTAGAGAACCGTATACCCTTTTAACTGAGTACGAGACATTCTATTTTAGTCCTCAAGGGTTACAACACATCTGCATATTGATTCTTAATGGAGGATAAATATTATCACCACTTACCATCATTGGACTTGGTGGACTGTGTGCTCGTTTGTCATCCTTATTCTATAAAAAGTATTACAATACAAGAAAGATAATATTTAAGTATAAGTTAGTCCATTTATTCGCTGCAATATTAAGCGTAAGTACCTACTAAGATTTTCCAAACCTTTTCTTTCTTCTTAAGAATGACTAAATGGTGATAAAGCTAATTATTGCTGCAGATGTGAGAGTCAGAATCGGTATAGTATGCCTTAGACGAAATTTCGTCGACCAAACTGGTAATATATATTGAAGATTATTGAGTACTTGGTACTCAACCCTTAACCGACAATTGTGTATGCATACATAATATTATGGATATTATGAATGTGAAAGAAGTGAGAAAATTGTGTCGCGATCGTACCAAATGGAAGTCCATAGTGGCTGCCTAACACTCTGAGTAACATGCATGAGTCATAAAGTCAACTATGTATGTATGTATGTGTGTATATATGTAAGTATGTTATGTATGTATGTATTTCTTTTTTCCTTCTCGGTCAGATAATCGTCGTAGTCAGCGATGATATTATACAACATACAAAAATAATATGCTACCGAATTGGGAACCAACTCCTTTTTTGAAGTCGGCTAAAAATTATAATCGTTACAAACATATATACAAATGCACGGATTTTTATATGAATCAAATATGACACGGCCCATAAATTAGGAATTTATGTATGAAGTGTTAATCAATTCACTGGTATTGAACTTGTTTGGAAATCTTCTAAAATAGTGTTTAATAAAGATGATATTAATTTATTGTTGCTAATCTGTATCGATATGTCACGCAAACAAAAATAAATTGAAACGCTAAGAAATAAGGACGAATATGAAATGTAGATTTGATGCATTCAATGATTTGTATGTTTGGGTGGGGCGATTTTACGATTTTATATTAAATTTATTAATAAAAATGCCATTTTTTTTAAAAAAGGGAGTGTTCTATTTAGCCATACGGTGAAGATAATTCATTATGTCCCGTCGATGTAGTAAGAGGCAACTTAATACGAATAAGGAAACAGTGTGAATTGTCCATCTGATTTTAAATGAATACTGCGGCCTATATATCTCTATATATAAAAATTACGTGTCACATTGTTTGTCCACCATTTACACCTAAATTACTGAACTGATTTCAATGAAGTTTTGCACACTGTGTGCAGTTTGATCCAACTTGAGAGATAGGATAATTTTTATCCCGATAAGTGACCCACAATATTTTTTATTACGATTTAAGGATTTAATAGGACAAAGGGTAGTTGGAGGGGGCAGAACAAAGTCTGCCTGGCCAGCTAGTATATATATATATATATTACATATTGTTCCTGAGGGACCAGTAAAATGGTTTCAACGGAGGTTAGACATCTACACTCTATTGCGTGACTCTTATAGTACTATGGGATGGCAATTCGACACCGGAGAGATAAGGCGCTAGATCAACGGTTTTACGTGCTTTTGAGGCATGGGTGAAAAACCGGCAACTGAGCTACTTCGGGCTGCTATTGAGCATTTTATCCCAACCCGGGATTGAGGCTGCATGATCAGCAGTCGTGCCTAACGGCTACTAAATCAACGATCGATCTGTAGTATTCATATATATAGCTGCAACGTGGCTCTATCATATAACACACAGAAAATATATGAATACATGAATCCTTTTTACGTGATAGAGAGATAAAAAGTAAAAGTAACTACTTTGATAAAATTGAAACTGCTTCTGCTAGGAGTAGAAGATGACAGTGGACGAATGGCGGATTCCTTTAGTATTGTCGCTTTTACAGATACGTTTATCATGTATCGTCATTAAAATCTAAATTATTAAGGAATGTTAATATATGTTAAAACATGATAATTAACTAGAAGGAGTGACGATTACTTACCAGAGTGCAGGAAGTCGTTGGTTATAGGTGACTCGAGGCCGTGGTTAGTGGAAATCTTTGGAAGGAGATCTATGTTCTATTGCTACTGTTCTTTTTTACCTTTGATCTATTGTTTTCATATGACTATATTTCTAGTCACTTTCTTTTCCATTCCTACATAATTTTATCAGTTTTTAATTAGAATATTTACTTTTAATTCGACAATTCACCGAAACTCTCACATCGAAAGCAAAAGACAAACACACAGAAGTACACAAACAGTAATAAGGTATCTTACAACACTAAACTACAATGACACTTAAATTACAAATAATATCAGATCATATACAATCTTTATGTATTACACCAAACATATAATATTAATATGTAATCAAGAAACAATAAGTCGAATTTATAAGCTTTATCTTTTTAAGTCGACTAAAATTCATTTTTTTTATAGGATAAGGGTGTCACCCATATCCTATAAAAAAAACCGCCCAACGAGCACACAGTCCACATGATAAATAAAATGGCTGCTATGGTTCATAGACATCTACATCTATCTTCGATTACGAATCAAAATGCAGATGCGTTGTCACCCGTGAGAACTAAGATGGAATGCCCCATTTCCAGTTAAAAGGGTCCCGGGTTCTCTACACTCACCATACGAAACACAGCAGCGTTAAGCTGCTATTTTGCGCTGGTATACTGTGAGAGCGTGGTCCTTCCCCGGTCGAGCCGACCCATTCATGCTACAACTATACCAGAAATATAGCTGCAGCATGGCTCTACCACGTATAAAAGGTCAGTTAAGTGAACAACATGGAAAACATCAAATCAACCCCTGAGATAACACGCGCTTAATAGTTTTATCTGTAAGTTTAATCAATTGTTATTCTCCAAACCTATGCGCTATGTCATTAAAAGTTTTATTTTTCCTTATTTAAAATGTTATACCAATAAAATTTCATATTCGTGATATAAATAAATTAAAGCACAAAATTAAATACATGAATTTCAAAAATTCAGATTAAAATTTTTTTTGCTAATTATTTATTATTAAATTGACATTATTTACCGTTAAATTGAAAATAGCTCACATTCACATGTCCAACTAATAAAATATTTATAATAATTAAAGTAAATATTTATTTTTTCTATCTTATTAAATATTTGATTTCAAACAACTAACAAGTGTTTAATCATCGAAGTAGATTGACGTGGTAAAGAATTATTTCCTTATGTCATGTCATTTTTTCACGGATCTCAGATCTTGTCTAAATATGGGAAATGTAATGCGTTCAAATTGGACAACGTATCGTAAGAATTAACGTTGAATTCATATGAAAATATATAGAGACGTTCCTCCTTTTTTGAAGAATTCCATTTTTGTCAACTACGCTTCACAAGAAAAATGTTGAATATCATGACAGAAAATCAAATAGATAATGAAAATCATTGATGACCCTCTATCGATTTTAAAATATGTAACCGGACATGTCACAAGGAACCTTTGCGAGTTCGAGCCAGTGCATACGGTGGCCGAAGATACTTCTAGGTTCAAATGTCACAGTTCGTCCTCGCCTTACATCGTGTCCCCGAGTGATATAAATACGGTCCGCTACTACGGCAGAGTATCAGTCGCTCGATTGCCTTCCTTCGCAAACAACCAAAAATTCCTCAACTCATCAAAATGAAACTGGTACGTTTTTGTGATTTGCATTAGTGAATTATGTTTTTTCGGTGTATACCTCGACTCATTGCGTGGATTACACTGTTTAAGAAGTACAAACAGCTAAATGTGGATTTATTTGTGATCTCATTATTTCTTAATAGAAATATTTAAGCTCGGATTATAATTTTGGTTGAATCTTATTAATAATGTTGCTTTTTTGTTTTATAATTATTTTATTACTGTTTTTCTCCGCAGTTCATTGTAGCCGCTCTCTTCGTCGCCGCCGCCCTCGCCGCCCCGGCTAACCCTGACGCTGATGCTCAGATCCTCCGTTATGACAATGACAACATCGGTGTTGGCCCCTTCGGCTATGCGTGAGTTTATTACTGATCCAACTAACACTACTTTACACAATATAACGTGTTTCAACTTAATAAATTTAACAGTAAACGGATATCCGATATATTCTGATTAGCCGAACACTTATAATTATGTTTTCCATTATAGATTCGAAACCTCCAACGGGATCTCCCAATCTGAGCAAGGAGACCTGAAGAACGTCGGCACTGATGACGAAGGCATTGAGGTCCGCGGACAGTACTCTTACGTTGGTGACGACGGCGTCACCTACACTGTCACTTACATCGCCAACGAGAAAGGATTCCAGCCTGAAGGCGCCCACATAGCCAAAGCCCAATAAATCGACATAATTTAACGCGTTATCTAGTCCAAAAATACTCAAATTTCCAAACCCTCACCCATCCCTTTGTTAGAGAAATCGTCTTAGCGATTCTGTGATATCCCTAATGAATATTGTTAATAAACATTGTGTTTTAGTAATTTAACCTTCGTATTTTATTTATCTCCATAAAGTTTATAACATAGATTTACAAACACATAGGCCAATAATATACTGCAAGAAACCTTTAGTAGCGGAATTTCCTTAAGCTTAGTGAATGCTGTTTTTTAAATTAAGTCACAAAGCTTTGAAATAATTGAAACGATGCCGTGCCATTTTAGTCAAAGTTTCACTGTAAACAAGTTAAGATGATGTTTTTGATGCGTCGATTAACAAATAAATGTTTATGGCAGAATAATATCTTGCATAAACAGGTCGATTTCGACAGCAATTTGTAAGATGATCAGAATATAAATAATTCTGAGCATCGAAATTCTAATGAGTATCTTTATCCAATCAGTCAGAGTTGAATGCTAACCGGTGCAAAAGGCCATACGAATATAATAATTCAAAAACTCATTAGCCTCCAAATTTGGTTACCCGTCACCAGCTTTCAATGATCATCTAATTATAATCTCAAAGTGATCATCCTTGGAATCTTAAATCTTCTCATTCACCTTCATTCTTTCGGATTAAAAATGTGTTCTATTGCATCATAAATAGCTTCATCGATACAAAAGAAACATTTAGTATCCACAACGTGTCAATAGTGACATTAATATTAAATTTTGTCTGCATTGGTAAAAAAAAATTAGGATTAATATTATTTCCTTAATTTTATTATAAACTGTAATGTGAAATAATGTTTTGATAGTCTAAAAAAACATGTAACGTACTCTTTGATATGAATATTTCTCTTATTCGAAGAGGTCCATAACAAATAAATTAAAATATTGAATTTGAAAAATCAACCTCTAAAAACAATTCACTAGTTTCATTAGAGACCTCAATGTCAACCTGAGATTGTTAAGTAATAATATTCATTTATCTCTACTGTTTTAAAAACAAAGATATTATTTCGAATAGTCTATAATATTTTAGATGTTGTAAAGGATATCCAAACAGATGGATAGCAACTTTTGGCGAAAGCCTTTAATTAGAACTATAAAAATTATGGACATAAAATTTATTAAAATGGTTGGAAAATAATATAATTTCGATGTTGTACTATTTGTGTGTTTCGATGTTGTACTAGTTTTGGTTTATAATTTCATTAATATGGATTCCTCGAACGAATTACACGTATACATTTATCTTCGTCACATCACGTTACCGAGTTGTGTCGTGTCTTGTTTTTCTAATGGCCTATTTTTTAAAAACAATGATACAAATATTTAAATTGTTAGTGATTTCCTTTAACACAAAAATACGTTTCTAGTATGTAAACCGACTGAGCCATGGTAACTTAGACTCAGCGTTTGTCGTAAATTTCAAAGTACGTGAGCGACCTGGATTAGATCTCCATCGGCACCAATGTAAACGATAATTGCTTTTAAATGCTGATTTACCATGTGTTGAGCGGTGAAGGAAGACATTGTAAGGAAACCTTTATTTTTGTGGAACAAAATATTTCTATAAAATATTGACGGCTCCATGGCGCATTGGATTAGCAGAAGCTGAGTGCCACGAGTTCCAATCCCGCACGGAATAAGTATTTGCAAGGCCTACAAATAATTATTCAAATATCAAGATATAATAATTGAACAACTAAAATTTAATTATTTATGAATTAAAAAACATTACAAATATATATGTTGAGGACGTGTAAAGTCCGTAAATATGAACTGAAGTAGCGCGGCGGACTGGCGGACTAGTCTTTAGCTCTATTCGAAATAGAAGATTTTAGGGACTTCCATAAAACTTTAAACTCGATGGAATGATAATATTATATTTTTTTTGACAAAACTGTATTAAAATATTAAGTAAGTAGGCACGCTGCTGATAGAGTCTGACGTTCCTTTTATGATTTTTTCTTTTATTATGTATTTTCAACCGACTTCAAAAGGGAGGAGGTTTACAATTCGTCGGAATCCTTATTTTTTTAATGTATGTATGTTCACCGAATACTCGAAGATGCCTCAACCGATTTGGAAAATTCAGTTTCAAAGGGTATACATCCACGGTGGTCATATTTAAATTTTATCGAAATCAGTCGAGTAGTTTAAAAAAAATTTACAGTAAATTATATTTATATTAAAATCGGTTGTACAAAACTTTTAATTTTGAAAAACTTTTAAAACACTTGTTTTAGCTTGCAGTTTCATCTCGGTCAGTATGTATGCTTACAGCAAACTACGTAAGCAGTAGGAACTTCAAAAATAATTTAAAATTAAAAAAAAATTACAAGCGACTTTAATATAAATTATTAAAATTAACTCAAATACGATTGGTCAGACCTTGATCAAATTAATATGGGAGCACATGTGAAGCACCAGGTTTCAAATAAAAAAAGAATCATCGAAATCTAAAAATAACTAATGAAAGTGAAGAAAGATTCTTGTTTGGCATTCCAGGTTTTCGTTTAGAAGGCAAGAACGTATCTGAAAGCATCTTTGTTTTGAGTTTGTTGCAGGATGTGTTTGGACTGTAAGCGCTATAAAGTAAACAGTTAATGTCATTCTTATATTATCTTGTACTATATTATGGTTGTAGCAAGAATAGGTCGGCCCGACTGGGGTAGCACCACGCTCTCATAGAATACCAACTGAACACAAAGTTTAATACTGCTGTATTTTGTAAGGTGAGTGTAAGGAACCGCAGAACTTTTTTACTGGAAACAAGGCATTCCTTCTTAATCCTAATGTGTGACAACGCGTCTGTAGTTTGATTGTAATGTGAGAGTAAATGTAGATATTTATGGGCCACAGCATGCACTTATACTAAAAAAATAAACAAATATTAAACATACAATATTATGTAAGGTCTAGTTTTTAACAAGTTGAAACGGTCTTCTATGCTAATTTTGTTCCCTCTGACCTATAAAACAGTTATTATTGCCGTTAGAATATGATACCAGTTTTAGTTTAACTCTTTTTATGGTATTAACATTTTTAGCGGCCTTCGCAATTATTAAACAGATTAAATTAATTAATTGGAGCAGTATAATTTATTAAAACGATCCAAATTTTGATACGTCAATTAATAAATTTATATTAATTAATAAAATTATATTCAACCGTGTAGTAACGGTGTTTTTTTATAGGTAAAAAAAAACTATAGTATAGGGGCGACAAACGAGCACACTTGATGGTAAGTGGTTGCTGTGGCCCATACACATCTACATCTGTCCTCGATTACGACTCAAAATGCAGATGCGTTGTCACCCATGAGGACTAAGATGGAATGCCTCCAGTAAAAAGCGTCTCCGGTTCTCTACACTCACCATACGAAACACAGTATTCTCTGACAGCGTGCTCTTTCCCCAGTCGAGCCGATCCATCCGTGCTACAACTATACTACTAATATAGCTGCAGTATGGCTCTACCACGCAACAATGTGTAAGAATATCCGCTAACCCAAATCACCCCGTGTTTGTCGTAAGAGAAGACAGAGGGAAACTAGGAGAAGAGTAGCAGCGTTCCTAATAACAACTAAGAAATAAAAAACTGCGGTTTATTAAAATCCACTTGCCAAGCATGGCCGTAATAGCTATGAGGACTAATAATTTTCCGCTCACCAGATGTCGCTAGTTGATACTGAGGTAAAGTTTTTTGTTACACAAATGTCATTTAATTGAGAAGTTGTTATTTAATAAAAGTTTATCAGTTTCTAGAGTATTATATTAATACACAAAACAATGCCTCAGTGGTTTACTCTTTAATTTTTATCACATTTTTAACTTTAAAAATTTTTCAACTTTTATGAATACTTAGCTGCGTTTGATTTATTTATTTTTTATCTTATTAATAGAAAATATAGCTAATAGTGCAGAAAGAAACAATAACCTTTACATTTTACAAATAAATTAACTTCCCCGCTATGAAATCTGTCAAATATTTATACCTCACTTTTAAGTGGCGCCACCCTGGTGGCAGAAAAAGTCGTGGATGCCCTTGTCATTGTCATTGTCCCCAATATCCCCACTATCAGGCAATCTATGGAGGAGTTTTATATTTAGAAGCGGAATCTTGATACGTTGTAATGGTCTAGTATTCGGTAATGCGTACAGGAAAGCAGTCGATTGTTTATCTTCAAAGCAAATGTGAATGATCTTTTCTCAGGCTAAGACACTGCGGTTCACCACCTAAATCTGCATCGTTACTAACCACCTTTTTATAGGATAGGGTGACAAGCCAGCACACAGTCCACCTGATGGTAAGTGGTTGCTGTGACCCATAGACATCTACATCTATCTTTAATAAAGAATCAAAATGCAGATGCGTCGTCACCCGTGAAGACTAAGATGGAATAAATGCCACTTTTCCAGTAAAAAAGGTCTCCGGTTCTCTACACTCACCATACGAAACACAGCTGTGTTAAGCTGGTATTTTACGCTGGTATTATGTGAGAGCGTGGTTCTTGCCCGGTCGAGCCGACCCATTCGTGCTACAACTATACTACCAATATAGCTGCAGCATGGCTCTACCACATATAAAATCTGGTGGGATTGTATTCAAACACTACCTTAAAAAAGTATTAAAACCAAATTTTAATAGAAAGTAAAATTCTGGATTGGTTGCTAAGACCTAGTGTAATGAAAGCCCAGACTCAGAATGTGAATTTATATTAGGTACTAGCGATTCGCCCCGGCTTCACACGAGCGATTTCTGTTTCTCGACAATAGCGCCACCTACCGGCTCAAATTGCGAATATAAACCCCATGCAGAGACCCAATCAAACACACAAAAATTTCATCAAAATCGGTAGAACCGGAAATAAAGCGAGACTAACGGCCACCAATCGATTTTTATTTATAGAGATTATTTGTAGTTCATTGAAGTCAATTTTTAGTTTTATAAAAA